CCTCGTTAAAGGAGAAATTGATGTCCTGAACATCGTCCGAGCTCTGGATCATCGGATCCCTCTGCCCATTGGACATCTACTATCCATATTAAAACAAGCAAATGAGTGAATGCTGCAGCATTGTAAGGCCAACCGGAAACGGTTTGCCCTCACAAGGCAGGCAACCATCAAAGGGAAAGCCCCCGTCTGCAAAGACAAACCCGATGTCCCCAGCACCTCAGACCCGATACGGTTAGGATTAGTTCGGAAAGATGATCATTTCCTTCGCATTAAGGCCATTTCGTGGAAATCCGCAGAATGTGACATAGAAGTTTGGGGAAATCCGTACAGCGCTATTGTCGATTCAGGAGCCGCGGTCCTAGCCATTTCCTTGAGGGTTGTAGAACGAGCAGGAAGAAGAAAGGATCTTATCTCGTTAGCGGAAGGAGACAACCTTGTCTCCGCCGACGAGGAAAATATCAAGGTAGTAGGAAGGATGACAAACGTTGCGTTTTGATTGGGAAAAGTTCACGCATTGGGAGATGTCGTCGTATTAGACGTGAATACGTACCATGTTTTTCTGGGAATACTCGCCCTTACCGCACTATGAGTCAACCTCGACTTCGAAAGACGAGCAATCATCCCTCGGAATAGTACGGGCAGGAAGCCATATGTTATCCCGATGCGTCTAACTCTCTGGACTGTACTCCCTACGACCCGAAAGACTCCCCCCGGAAGTGGAGAACCACTCCACGTAATCACCTGGAGGGAACCCCTGGAGGAAACAAATGAAAGTGAAAAAGGACCGCAACTATCAAGTAGCTCCTCTGAAGGCAAGAATGAAACGAACCCCGAAATTTGGGGTATGGTGCACCAACGGATTCATTACCCCGTGGAATAGAAAACATCGAAAACATTCGTCCTTATGGAATGAAACCTTCAGCGGATGCGAGCCTTAGTCCTCGGGGAGCCGCTCATCCAGGTATCCCGAATGGCCAATTCTTTGGAACCCCCTCGGACCCTATACGAGGCCACCACCCCGCTTCTCTCGAAATACGGTGACTAGAAAGCGTTCTGCGACATTTTGGGACTGCCTTGTTCTCTGCTCTCTACAGGGAAAGAGGTCCGATTGCTGCGACAGGGTGTCGAGGGCAGAACTTTGGAACCCCCTGGGCGTGGCAACCCATACGAACTCGAGATCAATATTGTGGAAAAACCAGTTAGTTTGCAAGATATCGACGACGGGGTAACTGTAGAAGATCACGTGGCAATGCGGGAAGTAGACGCGATGGTCGCCACGGTGTTCTCCCAGCGATCGGACAATTTGTTCATCTTCGCTCCTCCTCCAGCAAACGGTAGTAAAATGGGTACGAAACATATGAGGGCTAATATACACAAACAACTCTATGAGCTACATGTGTCCGTGTACGTGCCCAACGAAACCCATCGATTAATCGCAGATATCCTAATCGAATATCAAGGAGTGATTAGCGTCAAAGACACAGATATCGGGTTGTCGTTAGTTATTCCACACGAAATCCAAACCGGAACGCACCCCCCAACCCACTGCAAGCCATACCGGTACTCCCTCGCCAAATGTAAGATAGCATTGGACGAATCAGAGAATTGAAAGCTAATAGTTGGATTGAGCCCGCTACTGGACCCTGGTCATTCCCTGTAGTTCTAGTCCCAAAGAAGAACGGGTCGATTCGCATATGCATTGATTATACGAAGTTGAATGATATTACGATCAAGGAAGTGTACCCCCTCCCCAGGATTGATGATCTGTTGGATGTGATTGGGTGTGCTAGATATTTTTGTAAGTTTGATATCCGCCATGGGTTCCATCACATCCTGGTTAAGGAGGAGGATCAGCTGAAAACGGCGTTCGTATTATTCGAAGGCACTTAGCAGTGGGTTTGTTGCCCTATGGGAATATGCAATGCGCCAGCTACCTTTCAGAGAGCAATGAACATCACCTTTCAGTACTTCGTCGGCAAGACGGTCACCCGACTGACCTAGGGAATGATCAACTTTTGCGCCATTGTGTATATGTACGATATTTTGGTGTATTCTAAATCATTACACGGACATGCTCAACACATTGAGTGGACGCTTGGGGCATTGCGGGATGCGGGATTCAAGATTGCGCTGGAGAAAAGTGAGTTTTTCCTCTTGAAAATCTCGTTTTTGGGGTACGTGGTGACACGAGGAGGTTTGAGGCTAGCTTCGAGAAAAGTTGAGGCGGTTCGAGAAGCCCCTACGCCCACGTCGCAGTGTCATCGTTGACGCAGGTTCGAGCCTTCCTAGGGTTGGCCTCGTACTACCGCACGTTTATCAAGGGGTTTGCGGCGATCGCTCGACCCCCGACAATTGGATAAACCTTCTACGGAAAGATCAGCCACTCAAGTGGGACGCGGAGTGCGAGCAGGCCTTTGTCACTTTGAAGGAGGCCCTCGCCTCCGCGCCTATTTTGATTCGGCCCGATCCTGGGAAACAGTTCATTCTCATTACGGACTGGCAACCTGAGGCGATTTCCGCTATTTTGGCTCAGAAGGGGAAGGATGACCGCGAACATGTCATCGAGTACGCTTTGCGAACTGTACCTGATGAAAGAAGGAACAATTCGGCCCCACAAGGCGAATGCTACGCGGTCGTCTGGGAAATTCAAGACTTCCATCCGTATCTGTACGGACAAAAGTTCCTCCTCGTCACGGATCACGAGCCCCTGCTAGCTCTCAAAAGGCGTGGCAACTACACGGGCATGATTGGTCGATGGGTTGTCCGTCTACAGGAGTACGACTTCGAGATCATTCATCGAAAGATGGAAAAGCACGGGAACAAGGACGGGTTGATACTAATGCATCGGCCAAGCAAGGTGGCAAAAGGTGAAGAGATTACTCCGTGGAAGGAGCCGGAGCCATTCAAGGGACCCTCATACGGAGAAGTGACCATTCTTCCCCGACCTCCTAGGAAGTGACACGTAAACACAATGGCGATGGCCCGATGGGTGGAGAAGGTAACTTTAGAGGCCCTCTTTCTCCCCTCTCATCCTCTTTTCTCCTTTCCTTGCCCGACAAATTTTGTTATTTTTGCAAAGCAATATCGCAGGTCTATTCAGTTGTTATGCGTCATAGTGGGAAGGGATATGTCGAGTGGGTAGACTATGAACGGTGTGTCTCCCGGGCCCACGGTATCTGTATCCAATATAGAAACGCGGACAAAGCCTGGTTATGTCCTTTGTGTCGAGCCAATAAAATCCCAACGGAGGCTCGATTAAGTTTCGACGGGCGAAAGTATGGACGGATGTCGTTTTGATAGCCACGGTGGTAGGGAACTCCCTCCGAGAATTCACCAAGGAAGGTCGGAGGCGAACTAATGAGAGGACACGAGATTACCAATGGAACGACGGACGGTTAGAAAAACAAAAGACTGATGGCAATGGGATTTGGATGTTGGTGCCTCCTCCGTCCATGAGGTACGACTGGGTTAAGGCGGCCCACGAGGAAACCGCCACTCACTTTGCTGTCAGAATCACGGAAGCCGCAATTGACAAAAATGAGTGGTATTGGTCTAACATTAGGGACGATGTTAAATTCATCGTCAAAAATTGTTCGGTTTGCGTGGCAGATAAGGCGCCGATTCATCCGCCTAGGCCGATAGTACCTACTGCAGTCGAGCGACTTCCAAAGGGTTAGCATGGACACAACAGATATTATCGTGCCCCCTGGACCGAATAGTTGTGAATATTCAATTCTTTTGGTGTTCGTAGATCATTTCTCGAAATGGATCGAGGCCTACCCGTGTAAGACGGGACAGACGGCGGAGATCGTGTGGTATGTCAACCGTTTCCTTGGAATGCATCAGGATATCGAGGAAATTTTAACAGACAATGAGGCGGAATTCCGAGGAGAAGTCTTGAGGAGCCTAGTCATACATGGTATCTCCATCCGTAATACGACTCCCCATATGTTGCAATCGAACGGACTAGTATAAAATGCAAACCAGGTGATTAAGACCGCCTTGTAGAGAAATATCGCAGCACGCGACACGAGGCCTTGACCCAATATCGTGGACCATATCCTAGCTATCAATAGGGGGACCCCTCATGAGTCCACTAGCTTGACCCCTTTTCAGTTACGGACCAATAGTCTGGCTTGTGTAGCGCTGTCGAACCTGAACGACGAAACGACCCTTGCGCGATGGACCACGAGAACGACTGTCAAAGACAAGGCCCAACGCCACCTAGAACCGATGGAAAAAACCCTCCCCCGGTTAGCCCGAAAAGACAGCGGATGACCGAAATGGCCCATGGTCAGCAGGTCCGGAGCTATGAGGCCCGAAATGGGAACGTTGGACCCCCGACCCTAGTATAAATTAGGGGACATAGTGCAGGTGAGGAAATGTGCTCGCCAAGGCAAGTTAGTGCCACGATTCTTCGGGCGATTTCGCGTAGTCGAGCTTGGTCCTAGCGGAGTGAACATGGTGCGGCTCGTGCTAGAGGTCTCGGGAAGTCTATCGGCTCAACCGATCATCCGACACGTGTCCTATCTTCGTCCCTTACCTCCTTCTCCTTCTCCGCCATCGTCCACATCATCCTTCGATTTTGCGGGGGAAGACGACGATCTCGAACTCGAATACTCCGACTCCCTTTCCTCTCAACCTCCATCTCTAACTCCTCCCCCATCGCCATGAGCTTTTCTACTGAGCAGGTCATCAGTTAACGTCTAATGAGACCCGGGGGGCATATCTGACAGGTGCGGCGGCCAGGATTGAGTCCAGATCTCCTTCGCTTTGCGGCTTTCTTCGTCATAGCGGCCATCCACGCGGAGGCAAAATTTCGGTTCGCACGCACCAGCAAGCGGACAAGAGTGTTGGCCGAGGCGTCGACTTTTCTGCGGCTGTCCGCGCCTGGCAACAGCCGCGTGTCACTGATCTTCGCCTTCATCGACGATCTTACGGCGCTGCATCCGGCAGGTCATACGGGCGCCCTCCGTCAACTGCGACTCTGGGCTCGGGATCTCAAGGAGGTGTGGATCCAGCTGTTAGCCCGACCAGGCTATCGGGTCGACTCCACCAATGACATCGGCCTCAACCAACTCAGACTCTCTCTCTCTCTCTCTCTCTCTACAGCGGAGGTTATCATCTCGGAGCTTCTTCCTTTTGCGTCACCTCAATGAACCGACACCGCCTCTCGACCTTCGGGCTTCCCTCTAATATCCCTACCTTCTGGCAGTCTACTACGGATGTCCCTCTCTCTTTTCGGATCCGGCAGCTGGAGGTGCCGATCCTCGACTTGGGCAAGTGGGCAGGGTGGTGGAATGCGTACGTCACGCTTAGCTTCTGTCTCCTCGAGGTGGTGTTCCATTGGGCGGAGCCGGCGGACAAGGACGAGGAGGACGAGGTTCCTGACGACGAGGTGGAGCTGCTGATCGTCCAAGCCTGGAGAACGGACATGGAGGGAGAACTGTTGGGGATTCTATTCGGGAAGGTGAGGGACGACCACCTGAAGCCAATCACGAGCGAAGACTCGGTGTTCCTTGCGCAGCTCCTGGACGATCTGCCTCTGGATATCATTTTGCGCTGCGACGAGTGGCCCACGGTAGCAACGCTTACCCGTACATTGGTACCGCATCTATTGTGGTCCAGGTGTACGGAGCTTGACGGTGACAACTGCTACTACCCCTCTTCAGGCCACTACTTGGTTATTGATGTGACCGATCTCACCTTGTGGGATCCAGTCATCCGAAGAGTGAAGGTGGGAGGAGAAGCAAATGACGAGGAAGTAGAGGAAGAAGGAGAGGAAGAGAGCGATCGAGAAGAAGGAGATTCGGAGGCCGGATCGGACGAGCTAGATTATCACGAATCGGAGGAAGACGGGTCGGAGTAGGGAGGAAGATGAAGCAACAGCTCAAAGGCGACGAGAGAGGGCATAAGGGAAGCGCCATGTGCAGGATTCAGACATGCGGCTACTGCAAGACGATCTGACGCGCAACTCAGAGCCACCGTGAAAGGAGTCAGGAGGAGATGGTGTCGCCACCACGGAGGGATTTAGAAGCAGACGTCGCCGAAAAAGTCCAATGCCGGCTCAATCCTTTCCACCTCCGCGGCCCACCGTTCGCATACGTGGAGATGCGGGCGCTCAGGCTTCGTCCCCGGTCGTTATCTCGCCGTCCCCTTGATTTTCTCGCCGTCCATCAGCTCAAGCCTCACGGGCCGACCCCCTTTTCCTTCTAATTAGCATCCCTTCCCCCCTTTTCTTTTCCACCAGCTATACTCCACCCGCCTCATCATCAATGTCTTCCCGCATGCCACCACTTGCTCAATTGTAACCTCCTTCCCTCTCCACGTTCTTCTCTTCAACACGGCATGGCAGGAATATAATAATATAGAAGTCTATTGCATAATTTATGGCACCATCCCCACCTGCGAAGGTTACAAGGATTTTCACGCCGCGATTCTCTGCACCCTTTGTACCTTTTACCCCGATTAACTCGCTTCGCTCCCACACCAGGATCATCGCTTCCCCCGCATACATCGCACTGTCCATTGCACCCGGCTCACCACTGGGGATCGAGAGCGGAGTCGCTTTCTACCACCTCTCCCCCAAGTTCACCCTCCTCTCCCTCCTCCCGTCATCAGACTACCTTTCCCCGACAACCTCTAGGATTGGAGTCCGCAATGCCACCTTGGATGACTTCCACACTTTGATCTTACGGTGAGTGGCACATCTCAACCCCACGATGATCTTTGGCAAGTTTTAGGACCAGCCAATGACGAAGAGCAAGCAGGAGCTTGCTCAAGTTTGGAACCCCCTGGGCGTCACATATGTGACGAACTGTTCTCTGCAACCGCATGGATTTCTGCGCAAGGCTAGATCGGGGGGGAAGAGGGGCGGGGGTGAAGTCGGCTGAGTCGGAATGGCCTGGCGGATTGCATGAATGCCCCTGATTTTTCTTGTCTCTTTCGATTGAAGGCTGGTCTGGTCCCACGACGGTTGATAGTTGATCACGCCTCATCGAGCGCGACGAATAAACGGTTGCCATAGTTTCTTTCTTGTTCTGTTGTGGGAAATGAGAATTTTGGCGCGCTTGTTGCGTGGGAAATCTTTTTGAAGTTTCAACTGATGTCGAGCCCCCGTGGGCTCTCGGAATTTGCTTCGTTCGGATTTTCTTTTTGTAATTACGACTTAGATTTGGAATTTTAGCGCATTTCAATCTGTGTTGCGCGGTGCTTCCTGTTTGAGCACGCTCGGCCGCATCAGGAACTGTGTTATGACTTTCTCGCTCCTTAGTCTTGTGTGGAACTGTAATCTTTGTTTGGCGGGCGTAATTGCAAATGTAATCCTCTCGTTCTTGATATCTTTTGTGGCGCCTTTGTGCGCCTACCTCTCCCCTATCCTATTGGCATGAACGCTTACATGACCGGATCGATGTGTGGAGTATGGCTACGTCCCCCACGCCGCGGCCTGGCCATGCAGGCGTAGGCACTTCCTTCCTCCTTCTTCCTCCCAACCGAACACGATCCCGAGTATATCGCGCAAAGCAGGCATGCTATAAATCTTGCAAGCATGATCAATTACCTCTCTAAGACTTTTTGGAGTTAGTACGGTTGAGAGGATCGACTAACGAACAAGAGTTGGTAGGTGCGTAAGAGAGTTGGGCGATCTGACGAGCTGGTGCTGGGCGTGCGGGGTTGACGTGGGGCGCCGACGGACTGTGGCACACGGGCGAATCTGACAGGCAGGCTCGGGCTATGCGGGGTGACAACTTGGTGTATGTGCGAGGCGGCGGACTGCCCGCATCAGGACATTGTGAAAAGAGAGAGAGAGAGAGAGAGAGAGAGAGAGAGAGAGAGAGAGAGAGAGAGAGAGAGAGAGAGAGAGAGAGAGAGAGAGAGAGAGAGAGAGAGAGAGAGAGAGAGAGAGAGAGAGAGAGAGAGAGAGAGAGAGAGAGAGAGAGAGAGAGAGAGAGAGAGAGAGAGAGAGGCGGGAAGTGTGCAATGAGCTTCTTCTTCTATCCCTCTAAGCCATTTTGATTCTTCTTCTTCTCGTTTGAGCAATTTTGGTATCTGGCGCAAGTCGCCTATGTCTCTTTCGATCGGTATCTCGGATCTTTTCTTCACTTGTCTCTAGTAATTGATGCATGCCTGTTTCTCCCATTTTGTTCTCCCCTCTGTATGGATGGACCCTATTGATTGGTTAATTGCCTACGATCGAATTTTGTACGATCCTGATGCATGAATGATTGTCACCTTCCTCTTTTTTGTTTATGTATGCATAGAACGGGACGCGTGGACGATGGGTATAATTTGTCTGTCAAAATTAAATAAGCATGCTAGATGATCAGATGTATGTCTCGCCATGGGGCTATCCACCCTCCGTTAACGGGCCAACACGTACGAGACCTGGGTCATTAGTCATTGTCTATTGGACCGAAGGGCAGGCCTTGTGCACGCACGTGTAAGCCCGATCAGAAGAACGTGGCCTACACTCATGTTTGCAATGCCTGTTCTCGGTCCAACTTTTTGAATGACCGAGTTTTCGCCTCACCCCACAACATGAATATTGAACTCCCTTTTTGTATTACTGACCTCGAGTGTTTGAGAGATCCGGAATTTGGGGAGTACGGGGATCATGGGTGTATGTTTGCACGACCGAGGAGAGAACTTTCTGAATTTCCATACCTGGTGGGAAACGAGCGCATCTGCGAGTGGGATATCGATCGAGCTCGAGAGCGCATTTCCCACCACTCGGAATTCCTCAGCTCATACACGTGTCACCTTATCGTGGAACCAAGAACAATTATTCTGGAAACTGACTTCCCTCCCTACCACCACATGCTTCCCTTTCATTCGCTGACCATCATCCCCTGGCGTGCAATCGCTCCGTATTGGCCCCAACCGCCATGATCGGAGTGCTTGCAAGACCACGAGTACGGAGCCTCCGGTTTCACCTGCGAACCCACTCGGAGCAAGAATGGCGGAAGCACAGCCTTCGGCTACGGCCAGCTGCGTCGGATTCCGAGACCAGTGATGCACTACGCCAACAAGTGGTCGGACAGCGGGATAGCCATAGCGTCCCGACCGTGCACCAAATACGGGTCCGACCCAGACAACGGAACCAACAGAGGTGGTAGCCCCACGCTCAGAAACACAAAAACAAACTTCGACCCGCGCCTATCCTCTTGCATCCTTGTCTTTGAACTTGCCTCAGGAGATCTCAGTTTCGACTTGGGACTCCACCCCCACTTTGCCAAAAATCCTTGGCACACCCCTTTTCGGACTTCCAGGCCCACTCACACTCCGATCAGGAATTCGAGCCGGGCGTAAGGTTGGTCATCACACCCGTCTAACGAAGCGATCTTTTGTGCTGGATCAAGCCACGTTTGTTCGAAGCTCTTGGTGTATTCGACAATTTTGGCTTGATCGGTAGTGGTTGTTAGTTTGTCTTTGAGGTTTCTCCAGCCTGGCCTTTTGGATGTTGATCCTTATTGTTTCAACAATATGTTGTATGACTTGGATGTAGCCAGAGGTATGTTATTGTCTCTCGTGGGAGCAGCTAGCCCGCCACACCACCATCACCACTTCTAACCTTGTGGATTTAAAGAGGTTGGATTCGAAGAGTGACCATGCGCCCGTGGAGGGCGGAGATTGGTCCAATAAAGTACAACCGGTTCCCAGGGCGGGTCAATACTTGTGAGGTGATTCCACGCCGCGCCCACCATTGCCCAATCTGGTTTGCTAGTGGACAATCCAGCAGATAGTGTTTGAGGTCCGCAATCTGCTTTTGGGATGATGCTCCGCAATAAGGACAATAGGGTGACAGTATGCCTTTTTGCTCGAGTCGGGACCTTGATACCACCTACTCAGGAGTTGGCAAGCAGCGGTATATGATCTTCCATTAGAGCATTCATTGAGAGGTGGGCATAAGTCCCGAATAGTGGGACCATTTGAAGTTTGTAGATCATCTTCTTTTATACCAAGGTATAGAGTCACGACGCCACTTGTCTTTTATAATGCTAGTTGTGTCGGTTGTCTTATGGGTTTTCCTATAGCAGTCTTTGATCGTGTATTTCCAGACCGGTAGCGGTTTGGCTCAGCCCCATTGCCACTCATCGGGGTCAAATGAAAGAGAACATATTGGGGTAGCAGTCTCACAGGCCCATCATTCCTCACCACTCGTACTCTTATGAGGCCTGATCAGGACTGTTGTTTGTCCAGGTCCTCGTTTCTGGTTAGTCTTGTCGTTATGGCCCAGGAAGCACAAAATCATATGCTTTCAGTACTGCCTGATTGTCGGGGCAGCTCTTGACACGGTAGAGGACCATTGGGACATGTAAGGAAGTTGCTTTGATTACCCAATCCCTTCTTGAATGGTGGGGCCCTGTTTAATGGCCATGATCCATGCAATGGGGATGGCCTCCTACAACTCGTGATTTTTTTTTCTTCAGGTTTCATATGTAATTCAAGGCTGGTTTAAGCTGGTCAATTGTTTTCCACTTACCAACTCTCATGTCCCAAAGGTCCCCCACTGTGAAGACACCCCTTTTAGCCCATCCCAACCAACGAAAGTCGTGCTTGATAGAAAAAGGCTGGCTTTGCGAGGTCAGGATGTGGGGATTCTCGAACCAGGGCTGTTTTTAGACTTCGTGCCACCGTGATGGTGGTGGCGGTTTGTCCGGACTGACGTCCCTCCATAGTGCAAGGATGGAGGCTCAAAGGTGATTATTAGCGAGGTCAAACTTTGTGGCTGTTGTGAAAGATTCCCTATCAACCACCTTAGGGCTAGTTGGGATGGACCACCCTAGATTTGTGAGCCATGTTAGAGGGTGAATTGGTCTTTCCTTCATTGTGTCGGGGGCTAGGCATCGTAGTTGAATACTGGCCAGCGGGACCCATGGGATATCATTCCCCATCAACAATTTA